GTTCAATATTGATAAGTTACATTGGTTCCCTTGTGATAAAAGAAGTTCTAATCACTTGTGCTGATTGGAGAAATCGAGAGTTGAAACCCGATAAAGAAAAAATATGGAGTAATATAAAGGTACCATATGTGATGTCATTTGTTTTTGTTGACAACTATGTCTTTAAATTACTAATGCACTCTATGTATATTTTTTGTAGAGGTCTTTTAACATTGATGATGATCGAAAAGCATATTGTTTTCAATTGGCCGGAAAAAGACTCAGAGGGCTTTAGCCTTTTTTAACAAAAAAAGTTTCTTAGAGATGCCGATAACAATTTTATCGATGCAGAACTTCCAAAGATGTATGCAGGATTGATTTCACCTGAAGAATGGGAAACCTTTAAAGGAAAATGAAGAACCTCTTATTTTTCAGAATGTGAGTGTCGTAAATCGCCAAAGAGCATCAAGTCCTCCATATCCATACATAAAAGGGCGTATGGGATATGCACGCTTACAACAAAGAATGATAAGTATATATAAATGCTATGATATACGTGTTCATCATGTGTTACAATTGATCTTATTATTTCTATTAATGTGTATCAAAGAGAATGACTTAAAAAGTTGAAAACAAAAAGGGTGCAAGAAAGATATAAAATTAGTCGTACAATACTAACTTTTGCTAATGAGAGGATTCCTTCTCTCGAGGGGGAGTTATCAGGGGCCAACACCGTCTCTAGAAAAGCCAAAAACAGAAGGATAATTAATTGGAATAGAAGAAAACTCTCGAGAAGAATCTTGACACTCAAAGTAATAAACTTACTGTAGTGGAATTTGAGCTAGCAGTTCCAAGGTTGACCTTGAAGAGGTCCTCAAAGTGGGTACATTAATTATACCCCAAACATGATCTCCATGAGATGGATTATTTCAAGGTGGAAGTGGATGGTCGTCTGTTGGAAGTAATCAACCTTGTGAACAAATTGCATATGGAAGAACTGATAGCGACCTCCATCTCTCCAAAGGAAAAGACTCTCGTTGGCGAGGGTTCTAGCGAGACAGAGACTATCTCAATAGAGGTTTCACACCAAAATGCATCCTCTTCTAGGATATTAGTTTTCCTTTTTATAATATTATGTAATTTATTCGACTAATCACTACTACAAATATTACCTTTTATGACGAAGTTTTCACCTCGAACAATTAAAAATTGATGGTATAGGTACTGGAAGCACCATGTGTAGCGGTATAAATATTGGGACTAAGCTATTGGATTGACTTAACTCACACATATCAAATAAAAATCTCCACCACTCTTTATTGTTTCCAAAGGAATGGGAAAAGAGTGAATAACCCAAAAAGAAGGGGAGAGAATCTAGGTACGGGATTGGTTATGCAAATGAAAGGTATTAACACCCTAGATATTTATGGTACTCTACAGGAACTTCTTTGAAAATTTATGTATTTTGGCTATATAATTTTTCACCTGCCGCGGGATAAGAGGTACTCGTAGTTCACCTTTAAAAATTTTAAAACACAAGTGTGTTGGTTAATTTTAAAGGATGAAACATCATCGTCATGTACGAGTGGAAGACATACTTACTACCCACGATTATGATAAAGGATAATTTATGTCATCTCAATGTGGAGGATATAAATTAGATTTTAAAATCAACAACGCCTCACTCAACACCAAAGCGGAAAATATCTTACTTCACTATATAGCGTAGAAGTATAGTAGTTCACATCACTACAAGGATTGACAAGACTTTAATCTTTTGAGAGAATTTTAACGTAAAAAGCCAAAGTGGCAAAATGATTTGAATGAGGTTGATTAAATTTTAGTCTTCTCACAAAAAATGTCAAAGTATGATTAAGTTGGTTAATATTTGATTAAGAAAATATATTTGAAAATGCATGGATCTAAGTCCAAGTTTACTATGAAAGTGGTTCAAGTTTAAAAACGAGAAGATTTTTGAAAAGGAGGGATAATATTTTTTTGAAATTAAAGAAGATATAGGAGATGAAGGGACTATCCTAAAGTATAAGGTAAATGATAGGTAAAAGAATCGGGTAACCAACAAGAAGCCAACACTTGACATAAAGAGTCAATGTAGAATTCCAATCCTTTGGATTCAAATCAAGCAAGCAAAGATACTAAACCTCTTAAGAATATCAAGCCTCAGATGCATTAAGTCCTTTCAAAAATTGGAAAGAGTAACAACTCTACACAAATGAATTCCCAATCACAGACAAAACACATAATCAAAATAACCTGCACACAAAGAAAATCAATCCAATGTCTTGGGGTAAACCTCAAGAGCTCCATACAAAACTTAGAGAATTGTTGTTTAAGCTTAGATAGTATCATTTTGATTAAGAATGTAATTACAACTTACACAAAGAAAATGTAAAAGAATACTCTTGCAAGCCTTATATTATAATCAACACTATACATCATACTGCTTTTACAAAACAAAAAGAAAGAAAAATTCAATAACTCTTCAGATTAATTTTTTATCAAACATGATTCAAAAACTTAGACGATGACACAACTATTTGGTTAAGATTAATGCAAAGAGATTTCACTTCATAACTATGTTGGTCGTTTACATGTTCGACGTACTCATCTGGATATCTAGTCTCATTTTAACTCTAGAGCTTTAGAGGCTTCTCCATTGACATGTGAATTTTGTTTTCCAAGACGGTAGCGTACATGGTGTTCTTCTTCCATGTATTGGCAGGAACATCCCCTCTATACCTTTCCCTCCTCAAAGGGAACTAAACTTTAGAGGAGTGTGGCTACTTCCCCTTCCTTCGGATCAGAGGAAGGAGTATGATGTATGTGTCGTCGGTGTCTTAGGGAGTTCAGGAACTCTTTTGATCCCTTCTTGATATAGGAATGACATTTTTGAGAGAAACTACCTCTTGTACATTGTTGTTTCTCGAATTGACATTGTGTAAACTTTCATTAATCAGAGTTAACGTCTTTTCCAAAGCATGCCAGTTCTGATGATGAACCATTTGGTAGACTATGTTCAACAATTCATTGGCTCCGTAAAATCCAATATTATCTAATAAAAGTTGAATGTTGGAAAGTGTTTCTTGTCTGAAAATTATAGGCGGTAGTGAAGGTCTGAGTGAAGGTTCACCTAGGTGAAACTGCAGTGCAGATCCAATGAATAAAATAGGTTGAAACACTCTTTGATATACCATAGATCAAACAAAATTTTACAGTAGGAAACGAATGGGACAATTGATAGGATTTGATCGTTCGTCCCTTGAAGAAGAAGCGAAGAATTCCTAGCACCTTCGGCGGCAACAACATCTTGTCGTTGGACGACAGAGGGGGTAACCTTAGAAGCTACTACCGTCGAGTGATCTACTGGAGGAGAGTTTTAATCTGAATTTGACAAAAATGGTCAGGAAGTAAAAATATGTGGTTCCATCGAAGGAGATCTAAATTTCTATCAGAGGAGATTCGGTATAGTCCAGAGAAGTCAAATCATGGAGAATCGTAGGAATCAAAAGTTGATTTTCGTAGAGGGTGTCAATGTTTCGTACTGGAACTAAAGATGATTAAAAAGACTGGGTTCATTTTCTGCTATGGTGGTTTGAAGCTCCCAGTGCGGTGAGGAGGATGATGACCTGCAAGGTTAACACTCTAACGCTCAAGTCAATTAGAAATTGAAAAGTGGAGTTCGAATGAGGAAGAATTTGAATACTTGTCAAGTGGTTCATTTTCCTTATTAAATTGGGGAAATGGTTGCTAATTGCACGCAGGTCATCCGTTGGATTAATCTGAGTTGTTAGCATGATACTCTCGCGAGAGGTTATCTAAGACATGCGGGAAAATGATGCACTTGGTCTGCATTTAGCCACTTGTTACTCTGTAATTGAGTCTTTGTCTTCTAAGTCATGGAGACGGTCCAAATAATTGTGAAAATGCAAATGTGTAGTATAGTTTCTTCATCTCAATCATGATCTTTCTATTACATTTCTTCCAGGCTTAATTTCAGTTTTATCAAAACATAGGGAGAAACGATTTTCCCTATTAAAAATCATGTCTATGATGAAATTGAGGAGAAGCCTAGGTTGAAATTATGAGATGAGATCTCAAGCTTCGAATGTCAATTACTTGTACTAGAAAAAAAAAATAGTAGTTGGTTAATGAGTAGTACATGGGATCGAAACAGAGAAACAAATGGGCGAAAAGTTTTCAACAAACAATTTGAATTCATTCTATTGGAACATAAAAAATTAAAGAGAAACTAGTATTTCCATTCATTGATGCTGACTTTGGTGGGGCAGAAACTCCAAGGATTGGTGTTGAAGTTTATCTATCTAAGCTTGAATGTATTTTAAAGGAATAGAAGACCATATAAGATTGACTGAGAATGAGAGAGAAGTAGTCAACTTGAGTCAATTTGAATTATTATGAAAAGGGACTGCACATGATTGACAGTTGTGTGTATAATATTGTCATTCAAAGCTTGCTTGGGATCTAAGTACTTGTTCAACTTCAATTATTTTGAACATTAGTCTCAATAGTAAACCATGTAAACCACTTCTTCCACTTATACTTTGTCATGCCATTTCACTAATAATCACAAACTCATTTTGTTATATCATTAATTCAATCCTTTAATTTTGAATGCTATCAAAATTAGTTACCTATGTAACAAACATTAACCACAATTTTAGTGATCAATTGGAATGTCTCGCATATTGATTAAGAACTTAGAGAATTGAAGTATAAATTTAGACAGCATCAGATTGATTAAGAATGTACTTATTACATAAAGAAAATGTAAAAGAATAGTCTTGCAAGTATCGTATTATACAAATCAGTATACAAAACTTAGATGATGACACAGCTATTAGGATCCTCTTCAACACTAACAGCACTGTAATAAGGATTGTATTGTGGTTTCATGTGATGATTGTAATAGCCATGTGTTCCATAGAACATGAAAGGATTAATAATCACATTTTCTTTCTTATCATCTTCCTTTTTTTTAGGTTCTTCTTTCTTTTCCTCTTTAGCTGGTCCAACAGAAATGATTTCAGCATGACAAAACTTCCTTAGCTTAGCAACTACATATTGTGATTTCAGCATGTCCATTGAAACTGACTCAACCCCTGAAAGCCCAGAGACTGCCTTCATTGATTTTTGCTTGATTCTGTCTTCATTTATTTCCAACTTTAACACAACTTTCTGTAACACAACAAATAAACTAGTTTTTAGGACAAAGCAAAGGTTGAAATTTAAAATAAGATGAAGAAAATAATAGAGTGGTTTTAATCCTGGTAAAGAACTAACTTACCATCATTGTTATGGAAGCTCCTGATATGTGAGATGAGAGCTGTAAGGTAGAAGAACTCTTGATGCTTAGAAGTGAAAGGAAGAGACCAAATGAAGTTATGAAGTGGAGATGATGGTTTGAGGGTTTTTATAGTAACGAAAAAAGAGTCAAGACGAGTTGTGTGTGGTGTTCTTGGAAAGTTAAGCAGTAGATATAAAGGACTTTTTCTAATCTATAATTTGTTTGATTTCCAAATTCCAATATCTCATTCCTTCGTGGAACACGCCAACCTACATAAAAGGATATTAGAAGGTGAAAATTAAAGTGGGAAATTAAAGGTATACCTTTATTCAGTCACATACAGTCATTAGTTTGAGAAGAACAATGGTAACAATTCTCAAAGCAGTTCGGAAATAGACTGCCTCTTAATAAATTCTTCTTAACAATCAATAAAGGAATAGTGAAATCACTGATGGTGAAGACAAAGAAGACATCGTCAATGGCATTGACCCCTTTACTACGACTGAGCATGGGTGTGGTAATCACATTAGGGGTTTCTGGAGGGTCAAATTCAATTATTTTGTTATCAATCAAATCTTGAATCTTGTTCTTCAATGTCCAACAATTGTTAGTATCATGTTCGGGGCTATTTGAATCATAGGCGCATTTCACATTCGGATTATATTTGAGTGAGGAAGTATTGGGGTTTGGAGGAGGATCTCGCAACGTTACCAAATCGGCCTTCAACAAATGTTGTAAAGTTTGAGACAGTGGCATGTTGATTCTAGTGAATTTTCTCCTCAGGACGTCTGGCTTTTGTTGATTGTTTGATTGTTGTGGTCGTTGAACTGGGGTTGGGTTCGAAATCAACACATCTCCTACTGACTGATGAAGACCATTCTTAATACGACTCCTTTGTCCATAAACAGCATTAGTCACTTTCTTGCCAAAAATGGTTTCTTTACAGCATTAGAGGTTGAGGCCATGGGGATCTTTCCGCTTTTGATTCCACTTTCAACTCGCTCACCAATCAAAATCAACTCAGTAAACCATGACGAAGAACTCTCAATCAGCAGATTAAAGAATGGACCAGTTAAGGTGTCCCTGAACATGTCCACTAATTCTTTGTCAGTCAAAGGGTGTTGCACCCTTCCATCCAAATCTCTCCATTTTTAAGCATACTACTTAAAGCCTTCATTTGAATCCATAGTCATATTTTGTAATTGCACGCGAGTTGGTGCAAGATCAGCATTGTATTGGTATTATTTGTAGAAGGCAGCAACCAGATCCTTCCATGTGTGGATATTAGTCCCCCCAAGTTGATAGAACCATTCCAACTGTGTTTCAGATAAGATTTCTTGGAAGAAGTGTACCCATAACTTTCTATCGATGGTGTGTGGTTGAATCTTGCAGACATAAGACCTCAAATGCATCTTTGGACAGGAGACCCCGTCATACTTGGAGAAGACAGGGACCTTGAATTTATAGGGAATGACCATCCCAGGGACCAAACCTAAATCTCCAAAGTCCAAACTAGGCATTGTTTGGATCTCTACAGCCTTAAGTCGGTCTTTCAGTTGTTTGTATTTCTCATTTGCCGGTGGATACTGCTCTTTGGAATAATCTTCATCCTCAATAATCTGGTTATTCCCAACCCCATCTTTGGCGCTTCTAACTTCATATTCTTGATTGTCTTCTTCCTCAGAAGAAGTCTCTTCTATTTGAGCCAGTTGAGCGGCCTTGAACCTTCTTTCCATGTTGAGGATGACAACCCGTTTCTTGGTCTTCTTTTTGGTGGCAAGGAGTGTCATCATTTCTTGCTGACCTTTAGCTAAGTTGAGGAGAGTCTCTTGGAACTGTGTGTGTTGAGTTTGCAATTCTTTGACGGTTTTCTCTAGAGCCATCTTATACTGAAATAAATAGTAAAAAGTTGAGGAAACCTGTATCAGAAAACCTGCTTATGATATGATGCATGCTATGCGGATGTAATGTTTTCAAGGACATCAAGAGATTTAAATTTGATAGCTAAAGAAAGGAAACAGAAAAAACAATTGCATTAATAAGTTCAAAAGTTACAATTTCCCCTTCGGATTACAACAGGAAAGCAAAAAGGTCTCAAAAAGACAACAAAATGAACTCCTAAAACAAAAGACTTAAGTCTCCCATGAGCGTTTCGTCTTTGTGTCGAGGTAGGCCTTCAGGCTTTGCTCCTCGTGGAGTTGATTGGTGAGCTCCAACACTTTCTTCTCGCTTGCATATAATTAAGCTTCAAAGGTGTCTCGTTCCCCCTTGAGTTGAATCCACGATCTCACAACTCTTCGATGTCGGTAGGCATGTCAGGATGGAGAATGGTATAAGGAATGTCTCCCTCAGCAACATGCTCCACAACTATTGGTAGGATAGCTGGATACGACATCATGAGACTTTGAGCACGAGCTCGTACCCATTTGAGATAAGGCTCAAGAGGGATGGATTTATTATTCCCCAAAGTCTTGCTATCAACCTTGTGTACCATGCCCCAAGCTCAAACAAACCTTTGACGATAACCTTGGACATCGCTCTCATAGTCGAATATAATACCATGGATAAGTGCATCATGAGGCATCTCTTCGATCATAAACAAATTGTCGTAGAGCCAGAGAAGGGTTATAAGTAATACCTCCCCTAATGCCCAAGAGTGGAACATTATGGAACTCCCCATAATGGTTAATAATAGCAACGTCCTCCATAGATCGGGAATACCAATAAATATCCGAATGAGAGAGAAATATCATCCTTTTAGACCACGTCAATCCTTGTTCATTATTCAATATTGATCGAGGAAGGTGAGAAATATACCACCTAGACAGCAACAGTATACAACACATAAGAGCCCCTCTCTTCCTCATGGTACAAGTGTGAAGAGTGTGTAGAATGTCTCCAAGCAAAGTAGGCACATGGTTATGAGTAAGGAAAATCTTGATAGCATTCACATCTATGAGTTGGTCTGGATTAAGGAACAATACTAACCCATAGATTAGAAGAGCCAAGACTTCTTCAAAAGCTTGCAAATCCATATCCTCCCAAAACAGTCGAGCCTTCTCTAACATAAACATGGATAGAAAACCCTCACCTTCATTCCTTATTTCCCAATTAGCTACAATGTTGGACCTCTTCAAATGTAAGGCCTTGGCAATAACTTCAGGTTTTAAAGTTTCCTCTAAACAAGTGAATGTCATTTGATCAAGCACAAGTACTCCTAACAGTTGAGAGAATTCTTCCAATGTGGGCACCAATTGGTAATTGGGAAAGGTGAAACAGTGATATGTAGGATCAAAGAATTGAAAGACCACACACATCATGTCTTCTTTAAAGCTTGAGGTAACCAGATTGAGAAGTCGACCATGTCTTTTGGTCAACAGAGAATTATCAAGAACCCTTGATGTTAACTCTTTGATTTGAGGAGGCACCCTTAAAAAGCTGATTCAGATGGTATTTCTGTGAGTGCAAGCCATAACCTACAAAACAGGACAAAGATAAATCCCTAGGTCCTTGAAATGGTTTGTAGAAAATGTTATGGCATGATGTTATGATATCATGAACAAATAATCATATACACACAAAGCACACAAGGCCTTAGGTTTAAGCTTGCATGGGTTTTATAGGTAAGTACCCTTTTGAAGTTTTAGTTGGTTCAACTTGTCCTGAAAGCGGTAACTGAGTTCTAAGGAATCTCAATATCACAGATATTTCTTCATCGGGCACTGTTTCAGCACAAGCAATCTTTTTTCGTGACCAAAATATCCTGAAAATCCGATCTCAATGAGTGTAGTATCGAGTATCAACTAACTTCAGTCTGCACCAAAGTCAGCTATCTCACTACTTTCTAATGGACAAGTTGTTTAACTAAGGTTCTATAGTCAGTTAGTGCTTTATGACACCACTCAGCAGCCTTGTATTCTCCTTGATTTAACTCAAGGGACACTGGTACTTACAAATGTTTTGCACTAACGTAACTATCGCTTCAATCATATCGGTCTATGCCATACAGTCTCCACGATCTATTGCTACTTACCTAATATGCCCCAAATCCAAGTATAGGATCTTTACAACTAATAAACCCAAGCATAACCCAAAATGTAAAGCAAACAAGAAAACAAGTAAAGAAAAATAAGGTGATCTGGCTTTTAAGGTAACCCCACTTTTAATTCAAATTCCCCAGCAGATTCGCCAGTTATGTAATACGGTGGGAGAACTTACTTAGTGGTTTGCGTTTTATCGCAATTGTTGTGGATAGCAAGAGTCGCCACCAAATTTTATTTTATACAATAAAGGAAAGGGTGAAAAGAACAGGAAAGACCTTTTGAGATATTTTCTTGAGTTCGGGGGGTAGATTATGAAAAGGGAAGGTGTTAGCACCCTTTTCATCCGTAGTTATCTACGACTCTTAATTTCTAGATCACTTTGAATTTCTTTGTGTTTATGTAAGTTTGAAAATATTTTGAAGATTCTTTTGAAAATGGTAATTTTGCAATGATTCTCGTGTCGTTGAGAATGTATACAAAATATTTGTTTTGGAAATATTTTGAAAATGCCTTAGTACGACAAACTTTATAATGATTCTCATATCGTTGAGAATGTATACAAAGTGTTGATTTTGAAAATACGTGTTGAAAGGAGAGCGTTTGAAAAGATGTTTGTTTTTGAATGTGTGAGGTGTGAAAAGGGTTTTAGTTTGTGAGCAAGCAATTATGAGCAATCTACCTACTCAAAAAGTCTGTTCTTTTCCTCCTCCTTTAGATGGTGCTACTTCACCATTGATTGGTATATAGCCATATCATTGGATGTGAGGGACGGGCGTGGGTCATCGCACAATCATAAAAGGCAACTTGTAAGA